CGATATTAAATTGAAATAAAGGTATCTATTATATTTTCTTCTTTTTATTTATTGAGTTAAATCAGACAATTATGACACATTTACACCTGAAAGACTACCATACATGTAATATAATATAAAAACGAAATACGTAATTCACACGAAATGTATTTCGGCAACGTGTGGCGCAATAGTGCCTTTATACCGTTAAACACATTTTCGTACACAACATTCATATTCCCATGGCCTAAACAACTTTCTTACAAACCAATGCACAGTAGTGTAGAGTTTTTTAATGGTTATCCATTGTGTTCTGACATTATTTTATACTAATTTTATATTTTCTTATAATGTTTATTATTGTTTATACTATAGTGACTTTCATATTATTCTTTTACATTGTCTGTGTGTAATATTATATAGTATTTAGGAGACTATTTTACGGATTAGAATCGCATAGCGCAAGAGAGTGTCGAAATTTTTTTATGATACCAAGTGACGGGACGAATAAGACATGCGCCTGGTGGTAAGCGACACGCCTGTCCATAACAGTTGTAGTGCCACAGAGTTTTAAATCGCAAAGATCTGACGGGAATCGAGTCATAAGATGACAAGTCTCATGTGCCTGTAATTTCATCAGCACCCTTCAAAACCGGAACGCAATAATGCCCATATTACTGCTTGGCGGCAGAAAAAGTAAAGTGGCAATACTCCCTTGGACGACATCTTTCACGAGGAGCTCTACTGCTACTAAATGGCAATGTTTAAAGTAGGGATTCTGCAGTTCATAGTTACCTTTCTTATGTAGTTGAGCGAGTAGCAACAAGTCATCAGCATTGCTAGTAGCTGGTATGGCTGCCAATGCGACGCGTTCTTCGGCGGTAAAAGTATCGAGTAGGGATTCAGCGGTAGGCGGCTCGCTAGGTATACGACACGCGTCTACTACGTCGCAACTTGCTTGCACACTCCATACTGTTGGTGGTTGAAAACTGTGAAAAAAGTATAGAATAATATATATAATGTAATTTTTAATGGCTCTTGTGCAGTGTGGCTGCACTCGATAATAGTCACAATCACGATTCATTAATTAGCTCTGCGTTTAAATGATAGATAATTTACCGTCTGTCTTTTTTGAAGACGGAGTAAAATTATATTTGCAGGGTTGCAAAATATTCGTAAAATTTTAAATAGCCATGTAGTTATAGGAAATGAAACTATTTTTCTGGATTTAAATCGCGTATATTTGTTTTTTCAAAGAACCCGACGGTCGGTTGGTGGTCAGTCAAAAACAAATATAGGCGATTTAAATCCGGAAAAATAGTTTCATTTCCTATGTGTAACAATCGCGTAAACCTAAGTCATGTAGTTATTGTCGACAGTTTTATGGATAGGTTGTGAAAGGTAAAATTTTGTCAAAATTGTCTGAATGTTACTACGTTCTAATGATTACTAATTGCGTTACTGCCTTCTTCATTCTTATTCTGACAGTTGGCCTACTAGTATCGAAATAAATTTTTATGATGTACATTTTACCAGAACAGATGCATTTGATTATTTGTATTGAAATAAAATGATAAACTTTAATATATGTCTTCTCCTTGTATTTTTAATAGACAGTTCTAAATGCAGTGTATGTATGTATGAATCTACAAAGATTAACAATTGAAATGAACTTGTGCCCAGCAATTGGACGAATAACGGGCCGATGATGATTCGAATGAACCAAATTGGGCTATTTATTGCATACGCGTAACCAACGTTCAGCCGATAGTCAATAAATATAAATATTATTTATCGACTGCAATCACTAGCTGCTTGTAATCGGGCAACACTTGCGTAATGAACTGTCATTTTACACCATCTTCAAAAAAGACAGACTATAAGTCTCTGAAATTAAAGAGGGTGAAGTAGATGGAGAGGGAGGGGCGCTCGCTCTCACTAAGGATTTGTTAGTGTTCTCTCGATTACAAACCATCTCTCGCAATGGAAAAACACAGTATGTAACGAACAATCGCCGAGGAAAAAGCGAAGTTCTAAAAAGGCAAACAGCCCACTAGCCAACTCCCTTGCTACTTCCCTGCTAGTGACAAATTTTATCTATTTTTATTTCGTCATAACCACCAGTCATAGATGCGAACTTGCACAGCTCATTTAGTCGCCAATTCTTTCATGAATAAGTCACTGCTTCTATATAATAATACCCAAACAAAAATAGTTCATTTAGAACTTAATAATAACAATAATAATAATAACGCACACACTCAACATAGCCCCGCACTAGGGAAACCCTGTGTCACGGGTACCATGGACATACACATAGACAACCACAAATTACACCCAAACTCACGAGAGAAATAAATGTAGGCCATACAAATATTTCTCCCGGCCCAGGAATCGAACCCGGGGACCTCTGCGTGGCAGTCCGGTATGGTAACCGTTCGGCCACTGAGGTAGTTAAAGTTAATGTCATTGTCAATAAGATAAGAGATCATCGAGCGTTCCATCCGGTAAAATAATCACGTGACGACATTGGGCTGATATTTTGGTGAAATTACAGGCACATGGGACTTGTCAACTTATGTCTCAGGGTCTCAGGGTGTTGTGCGCAGTGGCAGTGCCCCTCAGATCTTTGTGATTAAAGCTCCGAGTGGCACTGCAATTGTTAGGGACAGGCGTGTCGCTTACCACTAGGCACACGACTTATTCGTCCCGTCACTTAGTATTATAAAAAAATAAAAAAAAATAAAAAAGCGCAATTTGTCAGTTTTTTTAAGCAAAATTTTTGAGATAGGCCCCTATTCCAGAAATCATCTTAATACTACTATCACGAAAAGCTTACAATTTAGTATTCCAAATGATATTATGGTGTTCTGGTATATTCACCAAACAAACTCAGTTCGTTGTTTGTGTATCAAACAACAGCCTTAAAACACTCAAAACACAAACATTAATTAGCTTACCTCATTTCGCTTTGTAACCTCAAATTCAGTGAGATTCCATTGGTCTTCTCAGTGCCATTAACATGGCCATTGTATTTCTTCATCCTCGGAGACACCTCCTGATCACTTTCAAATTTATCTTCATCGCTACTTGAATTCATTCCATTCTCATTCGTTTTCAACGATAAATCTGACAGTCTTGATGGTAGAGTCTTTAAGACTTTTTCTTTCTTTATTTCACCATTCTCTGTACCATTAATATGTTCTTCATTGTTGTTAATATTATTATGCCCATTCGTTAAATTATTAGATATTCCACTGTCCACTGAATAATCACAACCATTAGTTTTAATAAGACCATCCACAACATCAATACCATCATCGAAGGAGTGATTTGCTGAGTCCACTTCTGTGAACTTATCATACTTTGTATAATCTGACTCAATGACTATAGGTTTTGTATGAGAGAAATCTGTTTGATTGAGATTGTTTTCTGTTGGGTAGTCTTCGTCGGAGTCTGGGAATACGCTAGTACTGTTTCGTGGTTCAACAGGCTCAGGAACATTTAGCTGCATTTCATTTAGTGAAGAGAAAGAAATGTTCGATGATTGACTGTAGATGTCGTGTTTTTCACAGAAGTATTCTTTGCCATCTGAAATGCATGTAAAAGGATTTATAAATATTGCTCTTTGCATGGTATCTTTATATTGCTACATTCAAAGATACAAAGATTTAAATATACCCATTACGTTAAAGAAATAATTCTCAACTTCGTCTGATGAATCTGATCTTATTGTGTTTCAAATTGTAACATTGGTATTCTGGAATAATTTATACCGTTCTAAATACACAAAACAACTTAGGGGTAGGTACCCCCTAAGTTGTTGTACATACATTTGTACAACAACTTTGGGGCCACCTACCCTTAAATTGTACATACATTTGTTTTCTATTTTTGTACTCACAATTTTTTATTAAAAAACCTAATTATCACAGTTACTATACAACAACGTAAGTGGTAGAACTTGGAAAAATATCCGATAAATTTACGTTGAACCAGCATATTCGAGTCATAAACATCAATGTAATATCAAAAGACAAGGGCAGGATTAGAATAACTGACTGCCGTCCGCTGACTAAGTGAAAAAATATTTTTTTGATATATCATAAAAAACTCATGACCCAGTTTTAGAATATTGAAATTATTTAATGATATTTCAGCTATGCAACGTTAGGGTGCGTTCCGATAAGTCGAACACGTTAACTATTACTAAAGGAGAATTTTGTGCTCTATCTTTTGACATTTAAAACGGATATTTGACCATCTGTCACTTAGCCACATTTCAGTTTGTTGACGGCAGCTGTGGTGTTTAGTATCATCTCTATTTCTTACACATTCGCCGAGGCTATTTGGGACACTATCAGGTAAACCATATTTTCGAAAAATCTTTTTCCAGCAGTTTATTTGCAAAACCACAAGCGCAAACACAGATATTGTTTCAAATAAGCGACATACCAGCATCCCGTCCCCAATGGGAATTGAACTGCACATAGGTGTGCAGTTGCAGCAGCAACCGCCGGCATAGCAACCAAGCCACGACACGGGCCAGTCTGGCGCCGCCCCACGCGCCGTTGACACCGCCGCTCCAGCCGCGCGACACGTACCACAGCGGCGCAGGGAGAGAAAACTCACCAAGCATCTTCATCAAAACGCCAAATATCAACAACTCACTCCGGATCAGAACCTCGTTTTTCAAAATCTTGAACTTACAATCAACTTCAAAATGGAAATCCATAGGGTGCGTACAAATCTGGCGAATGCACCTGTTTGCGAAAGGCTCGCAAGCTGTGCACGTGCAATACATAGTCCGATCTGTTCGCGAATCGATCGGATGCATTATGCGAGCCTTGTGTGAGATGTGATAATTGCATGCATCCAGATCACTTGCCAGATCTGTACGGGCCCTTTCTTTTTACAAAAGTGATATAATACACATGGATATTATAATTAATAATAAAAGATCGAACACAAACGAAAACTCCTTTGTGACAGGATTCGAACGTGCGTCTATATGCCAAACTATGCCACATTAGTAACTGAGCTACAGATCGAGTCAGCAGATTTTACAATTTCTCTATGCGTTTGTTACAAATCTTTGTATTTAGCTGTAACATTTTTTTGCCGTCCCTGTGAAACACGGCGTATTTTTAGACGCGCCGACGAAGCGCGTTTCACGTACGGGTGTTTACGGCGATGTAAACGCGCGTCATCTGTGTGTATACGCGCGTCATCTGTGCGTATACGCGCGTCATCTGTGCGTATACGCGCTGTGATGAATCGATTGAAACGCGCGCAAACATCGCGTTGTAAAAAAGAAGCTTATATACTCCATTGGAGTTTACCTAGTTATAACGAAACTTGTAAATTATTATGGAAAACGGTTGGTACTATACTTAACAATATTATTGATATCGAAGGTATGTTAAGCATGACTGAGTTACGTATCCAAGACCAGTGACTTGATAAAGTTTCTCAAACTAATTTTTTTTTAAGAAAAATAAGTGCACGTTTGACCTCCATCTCACCGAATGGAAAGTGACGATGACGTCAACGATGGAGCATGCACAACGAAAATATGCCTATTAACTCTCACCTTGAGAAGGTCCAAATTATATTGTTCAGGGAATAAGTCTATTATAGGTTTACAGGTCTACTAAATACTTCTAATCAAGTTAACTAGTCTAACGCTTGATATGGATAAAGAAGAAGATTCTAGACAGATATGTGGGACATAAAAGGATGACTCGCTCAACCAAATTAATTACCTGCAATAAACATACTCCAGGGAATTCCTTTGCAAACTCATCGACGAGAGGCGAGTTAATATGAACGTTCGCGCCAGGCGCCACAACGTATACGTTGCCTTCGCATAGGGGATATATTACTGTTGCTTTCGCCCAGTAAACTAGATGACCGGTTAGTTGGAAGACCTGGAAAATTTATAGATTACTTTAAGATTTTTCTCGAGGTTATTGAACTTAAAACTATGGCGATTAGTCTTATTATTTTATAAAATATTAATCAGTACAAGACAATGATTCCTAAAATATATGATTCCAAAGAGACATTAAAGGTGTGGAGTGTCCACACCAAAATTTAGACTTTCTGGATACGGAACATTCCACATAACAAAGATAGTACTTACATACTTACATAATACTTTCTTGTTATAGACATATAAATTACCTATGAAGTAAATATTACACAAAAAATAAGATATTCGTTTATATAAAGGTATAAAACTTAACAAATGTTTTTTTGTAAAGTTTCTCACTATACAGATACGCTATCAAAGCGAGTTGCACTGTGACAGTTGTCCAAAATGTGTTTCAAGTTGATGAATTTGTAAAAACAAATCCATGTTAGAAAGGCAGGGCGTCTACCCAAAACGGACAAAATTGATATGAACAAAGTGGTCTACGAGACAAAAAAAGTTTGGGGACCTCTGGTCTAGGAGAAAACTTTCAGTATGTTTATACCTGTGTTAAACTCAAGTCAGCTTCAATGGCAAGTGTTTGTAGACTCTTCAATGGGCTGTATAGTTTAATGAGCCTTAATAAAGCAGGGCTGCTGTCGAAAGGTATTGATGCTAGAAGCTCGTTGGGGTTCACCTGAATTATGACAAATATACATTCTAAGTATGTACATATATATCAAAGTGTTTGAAAACGTTTTAATTCCATATAGATTTAAGACTTGTGGTGGTTTTCCACTACTTTTTTATCACTGGTTATAGGTTTCTTACCACAGTACGACTTATAAAATAAGAGAGAAAATGAAGAAGTCAACCGTGACAATGGAACCTGTAAAGAGCTCGAAACGTTTGGTTTGTTCATAAAAATAAATATACGCGATTTTAGATCCGAAAAAGAGGTTTCATTTCTATTAATAAGAAGTCATACCGTGATAACAAACCTGTAACTACTTGATAATAATTTAGACTGTATAGTTATTTTCCCAAGAAAAAAGACATTTTTTAAATTTGCGCCATTTCTTGAACTCGCCGAATTTCATAACAAATGAAAAAAGACCATAACTTTGTTAGAATGCTCGGGAATTCTAATTATACAGGCTGCAGCCCACGCCTACTTGTTAAGCCTATCAGGCCTTTACCTTCATATCGAACGGCGTACATGACGCGCTAATATAGTATCGTTATCAATAAGTTGATAAGGCTTATTTGCGTCATGACGGTTTTGCCTTGACGTATTGTGCTTAAGTCGTAAATTCTATAACAAGGAAGATATTGGTATCTATTGTGCATTTGCCAATTACATATGAACCAGTATTTCTAAATTATAGACAAATTTTGACTTTATCACATCATTATCTGAGCTAGATCTGCGATAAAGACAGATCATACAGATAAGACAGATCTAGTTATATTGCTATTTCTTTGATAGAAAAGATTTAAAGGACACAGAGATCGAGGTGTGGTGGGTGTCGCGAATTCTCTTACATTTGTGAAATTAGATTGACAATTTTGCTTTTTATTTTGTGTGCAATAAAGCTTTTTATTATATTCTATTCTATTCTATTTTGGGCGTCGAAAATTGATACCAACGTCCAAATTCAGTGAACAGAAATATATATAACCTCCTCTGATCTGAGCAGTAGTAAAAGTCGGAACATATTTCTCGCACTTGCAACGGCATAAAGCTTTTTTTGACTGACTTAATGCGACTCCTTAGTGGCTTTACCTCGTCGTCGATGCCTAACATGATGTTATTTGTGTATTTATAAAAAAAAACATTTTGACCTACATTGTTTATTGTAATAGTTATGTCGGTAAAAATAGTTTTAGATAATCTGTTACCCCTAAACTGATGCTGGCCAAATTCCAACTCATAATTTTCAGTCTATCCCACAAATATCAAATTTCGTATAGCCAGTAAAATAAGAATAATAACGATAAAAATAATGTTTACGTTTTGAATATTAACGGATTATACAAATGAGCGTACGTTTATTTTCATAGTCCGTTTATGTTACTAAATTCTATTTTTAAAAGTCGTATTTTTAAAAGTTTATTTCGTAGTTATTCGCGTTTTACGAATAATGATGATAGGTTTGTAAACCAATTTTATTCGTTATGTATTATTTAACATCATATTAAATGTTCGAAACAATTTTGAAATATTAATACTTTTTTGTTAATTATTAACATTTTATCTTAGAATAATCGGGTGTTTTTTTTGCAAACATGTGCATGTCAGAATCTGTACATACTAACCGTAAGACACCAGTCAATTAAAAGTTTATCTTTTATTTTACCCATAAGGTTAATTTAACTTTAATTTAACCATTAGGTTAATATTAGAAGTGATGTTTTACTGGACTAAATAGCACCGCCCTCTTACTCGAATGGACTAATAAAAATAACCTTTAATAGTAATAAAACTAGCGGCTTGCGATATCTTTCTCGATCGCTTGGGATGATAAGTACTTTTCAATGCAGGTATTCGTAAATTTGCATTTTTATGGCGGGCAAGGGTGCGATACTACTTTTCCGCCATCGTACTATTTATTATTATTTGTATTTTTAAAATTTCATTTTATAAGTCGGTTGCAATAGTTTACAAGCAAGGAGTTTATTTGTATTAGGAATGCGAGTACTTAGAGCCTATGCACGTGGCGTATTTATTTTATACGCGCCGCAAATAAGCTGTATTCGCGCATATGTATCGCGCATTTTTATAAGAGATCGTTTTAATTTTAGTTTTGTTTGTTAATTTCAGTCAGTTCTTGAAATGAAGCAACTACATTCAATTTTAAGTGTAAACTCCAGTGGAGTATATAAGTTTCTTGCTTGCAACGCGATGTTTGCGCGCGTTTGAATTGATTCATACGCGCGTAAAACGCGTACACGATACAGACGAGCTCTGAACGCGCTTCTTACATCTCGCGTTTACACACGTCATCTGAGCGTCGTCGGCACCGCCGGCGCGTATTAAATACGCCAATTAGTACAAAGGCTATTCAATTCTATAAAAAAAAACCAAAGAACTAATCAAGATATTTGCTAAATAAAGATTTTCAGTGTTTTAACCATAGAATAATAACGCATAGAAACCTAGTCCGCACACGCTAAGTGAGGTAAATTGAAGCGCTCCCAAAGGGCCTACACGAGCGGGCTCAAGGTCAACTTGCACCGCGAACAGCTCCAGAATTTTAGCTAAAAATGACGAAATCTGCGGTAAATGAGTGTAAAAATACGTCAGACAAACATAAAATAGATACTAACATCACATTCCACAAGGAAGTAACGCGTTTCAACTTGTATTTATATATAAATATTCACTAAAACCAAAAATTAACCTACTACTAAAACTAGCCTACATGAATTTGATTTTTGCCTCACTTGTGACAGTTCGTTTGATATGAAACTATCATTCTATGCGTTATTATTCTAAAGTTTTAACATTGTATTTAGTAAAAAAAATTAAGGAATGTGTGCTCAGCCTTTTAGCTGTGTATGTGTCTGTGTTGTGTATGTGTATCTTTTCGCATGCGCAATTAATAATTACAAAAAGCCGACAACTTCGTAAAATTGCAAAACAATTTCTTGACGCCAAAATCTAAAGACAAATACATCGGCTACTTATATTAATTTCTTAATGCGGAAAAAACAGATAAAAATGCGCTGTTATCTCACAAAAATATTGAAAAACATCGCGTCTTACTCGGGCTCAGGATCAATTTAAATTGCCGCGGAACAGAATCGAAGGGAATTTTAATAACCATAGCATAACGAACTTCACTTCAATTGTGTAACGTACCAATTATACGAGCCAAAGAACAGGTCGCGTGTCTTCCGGAGAATTTTTGCGCAATCTCGGGAATTCCCGCAGCTACCTTATCGTATACAATTTCATTAGAAATATTTGCTACCGTTCCGTTCCGCGGCACTGTAAATTGAGCCTTATTGTCAACTTGTTTGCAACAATTTACTTTAGAACCCAATAAAATACAGTCTACGATAATTTTTGTTTATGTCATTCAAATACTCAGACAATCCAACTGACGGAAAATGGTAAACGCCACCACAGACGTTTCAATTCTTATTCTTAATGTGCTGCAGACAGCAGAAGTTAATATTTTAAGCCTCCTATTTTTGTAATAGTGCTTGGCCCTCGCTACACTTCAATCCTGAATACAACGGTGGTGCTGTGCTGTAGAAACATGGCGCGGTGATAACCAGGCGGGTTCCTCAGAGATAGAACACACGGACACTTATTATTATTATTATTTAAATCCAAACTATACATTTTAAAATTATAATGTAAGTGAGACGAAATACATACCATAAGAAGAATTCCGTGATAAGGCCTGAGCTTCTGTAAGCATTTGTCTATAGTCTCTGGCTCAATTATGAGCCCTCTGTTGTGGATTTGATGCGCCTTATGAGGCAGGCAGAAAGATAGTAATACCCATTTGTTTATCCGTACTTGAACAATACCTGTGAACAAAAATATACATAATAAGAGTAATAGTATACTAAATTCGATAATGGTTTGGTAGATGGTGGTATCAGCCACAAGCAAACTGGGCGCCTAGACGTCGAGTTGCGGACACCATTATTAATTGGTCAAAGATATGATGAAATTGCTGTATAAGTTCAGATAATTTCCCATAGAAACAATGTTTAAAACTTTCATAGATTTCTCATAGATGGCGCTACGACTAAAAAGTCGTTGAAAAAACCAAATGCAAAGATAAACGCAAGCACATAAAAAAATACGTGAGGTCCGCTGGTTCGTTCCGTGGCTTAGTAAACTAGAAGCTAGAAGACGGCGGTTCGAATCCGGCCGGATCGAAGGAATTTTTTCTGATTGTTCAAT